TCCGTGTCAAGATGATGCTTTCGAACAAAACTGTCTGCAATGAAGTCATGCGTCGAACCGGAATCTATCAGCATCACTGCACGGCGACCGCCGATCTTTCCCTGTATGCGCAGTAGGTCGTGTTCAGGTTCATTGCCGACGCTGACGTTGCTGACATGACACCTTTCTGCAACGGGACAATTTCCTACAGCTATGGGTGTCTCCGGCTCCGTAGGTTCCTGGAGAGCAACGTCTTCAACCTCCAGAGCTCCGAACCGGTTAGCGACTGGTATCGGCGTGGGCGCTTGGGTCGTCGCCAGTAAGCGCACCCCCTTTCTTACTGGCGACCAGCGTTTGGGTAGCGCTGTCCACCCTCAGTACAGTCTTTAGCGAGGTGGCCTGGCTTCCTGCAAGCAAAGCAGTGTCCCATTGCTCGCAGTTGGACACGCTCTTGGTCCGTCAGCTTGCGGAGGCCCTGACCACGGAAGCTGGGCACGGAACGCGACTCTCTACTGGCTGGTGGCCCCGACGCCGGTGGCCCTGACGACTGCTCCACGGTGTTTGCTGCCATGACAGCTTGCTCCAGGGTACGTGGATGCTCACGCATGACCTGTCGCTGGATGTGCGGCACTAGACCCCTGACGAACAGCAGCGCTCTGGTGTGGTGGTCGATTTCCGGCACTTGCAGGCTGAGGCGAGTGAAAGCAGCAATGTATGCGTCCAGCGACCCGCGCTGCGCTGCGGAAATTAGTCCCATACGCGATGTTTCCTCGTTGTGCCGTGGTCCGTACACATCGCCAAGTGCCGCTTTCAGAGCAGGCCAGTCGGAAAACACTTGGTTAGCTTCCAATGCCGCTATCAACCAAAGACGAGCGTTTCCAGTCAAAAATCCTGCCGCGTAGTCGACCCTCTGTGCCGCATTTGGGAGTGCCAACGACCGTAGGGCCATGTCCATTGCAAACGTCCATTCTTTGAATGTAGCGGAATCTCCTCCAAACACAGGCGGCTCTTTCGTAAGGCGGGGTGTTGGCTCCCACGGTTCCGAGTTCGGATGTATCGTTCGGTTTCCTTGGCTAACACGCTGAGCGGTCTTGATATCGTTTATCAGCCGAACGACGAGTACGAGGAGCGTAAGCAGAGCGACCAGAACACCTGCCAAAAGCAGAGTAGTAACCATCCTCTGCTACCAGTGTAACAGGTTTAATCAAACTTGAAAAGTAAGAGGCCTGGTTGAGCGTGCCTCGACCAGTTATATGCAAAATGTGATAGTATACATGTGGCAATGGCGCCAATGAAGGTGCTAATAGACAGGCGTAAGACGCATGAGGTGCGAGGGAGTGTAAAGTTATAGAGAACAGGGGAAAACTGTTACACATAGTGGATTGCATAGTCGACACATTCTTGCTTGACACAGCGAGGGCGATGTCATCTGCGTACTAGTACATGAACGGCATGACGTCCACCTGATGTTGCGATAGACTTGGAAGAGCTAGGTTGTCAAAAATCGAAGCAGTATACACTAATCTCAGCGTGGGCGAGATTGACGATTGACGCCCCTTGTGCCTTGTGGCACGCCACGATGCACTGTTCTCTTGCCGCTGATCGTTGTACCTCACTTGGTGTCTACGATTCGTCCACGGATGAAGGAATTGATCCACCGAGTCAATTGAGCGGGTTGGGTCTAGAGATCCGAGCCTAGCCATCAAGATGTCGTGATGAACATTGTCATACGCAGCTGATGCGTCTAGGAAAGCACAGTTTACATGGTGACCTGCTTGTTGCTTCTGGGCGACCCACTCGACAAGAGAGCAGCATTGCATTTCTGCGCTCATTGCTCTACGGAAACCAGCTTGTTCGCCGGGGATGAATTCAAATTGCTCCAGGAAATGCGTGAAGCGCCTCGTCACCAGTCGGTCCGTAGCTCGAGCGAGAGCATTTGTTAGGCTGATAGGTCTGAATGCAAGTGGTTTGGGCTTGGGTACAGGGACAAGTCGGCTGGTTTTCCAAGCTTTTGGTCCGTTGGACAATAGCCAGTGGTCCCGGACAGGTTAATCATGCGACAAAGTTCGGAGATGGCCTTGTCTGTCAATTTTGGCACCATGGCATGGGTGGTCGACCGGTCCTACCTGAACAAAATACATGTATACCGTAGTCGGAAAAATGAGGGGGCTCGTTCGAACCCCCCCCCCCCCCTGGGTCCGCCCCTGTATAAATTCGACGGGTTCGCGTACCGGGCAGGTCAAGAACAAGGAGTCGTACAACTCCCTGGTCAAGAACCACCTTTCCGCTTCCGTGGGACGCCACCACCCCATGATCAGGCGTCAGATGCGGCTCGTAAACGGTGGGGGAGGATAGATCAGATCCACCAACCAGAGACCAAAGGCCTAAATCCCATTTTGCCACATCCATGTTTTACTCATGCCAGGCCACGAGTTCCCAATTAACTGTGGGTCGCAGCACGGTTGGAAAAAATCCTTCCGCTTCCAAGCAGGACTTGAACCTGGTACCTCTCGTTTCTCAATCATGGTCTTAGACCAACCCACTGTGCCTGCCTTTATGCTATGGAAATTTCCCATGGTCGGTGGCCGTGACACACACAGTGACAATCATGTCCTTGAGTCTTGACCAGTAGATCTACGGCAGTAGACGATGTTTGCGACTGGCAAGCCGCCTGTTGGCAGTGTTGCCGTGTTGGCTGAGGCAGATGTTCTCGCTGGGTTCGCGGGACTGACGTGGAGTAATTTTCTTCAGCAGTTCGTGCTGTAGAGCTCTACCGTGTGTGCAGTTTGACAGTCACTCGCGCATGCCATGGAAAGTTGGAAAGTGCAAGTAGTTCTCGTGAAACACGCCATGAAATAATTACCTTGCACACTAGTACTTAGCCAGTGCAGTAAAAGCCTTTCCGGAGTGCAGTGCTCCTGCCGGCCCGCATCTGATCTTCCAAGATGGCTGAGGATTCGAGCGACAGGAATGAGTCAGTAAACCTTTCAAAAGCCGAAAGAAACAAATCATACGATTCATAGATCACCGCTGACTGCTACAGACTGCTAGGATGCCCCGGACAGTAAGCTGAACTCTGTGCCCTGTACTGTCTCTAGTCTTAGGTTTCATCAGCGGATATCTGAGCATCACTTGCCGAACAACCGATGCGGCGATGCGGCAATGGCGATGATGTCTAGTGAACAACAAAGCAAACCAGCTGAAACTGTGAAAGCATCAAATTGTATTCTGACTGGCGAGAAACAGCCAGCTTTGTACGAGGGCAGGTAAATTTGACACCAACCAGACATGACTATTGACTATTGTACATGGTGTAATTATGAACTTTAATAGAAGTTGCGACTTTGGCGGTATTACTAGTATAATAGTATTAGTGATGAAGTAATAGGGAGGTTTAGTCCCACGTAATCCGTGGGTACTTAACGTGTGTGTACCACGTGATACTCAGTGACCCACGTACGTACAGACGTTTTCTGAATCACGACATACCGATCCCGACTACCGTGTATGGAGGCTCACCCACGTTCCGCCAGAACGTGGGTGAAAATCAGAATGGAGCGCATTTTGCTAGCTGTGAGGGTGCTCAGCTGAAGAAGTTTCCGAAGCACGAAATCAAAATATTCGATGAGCTTCTTAGGCCCGGGTAGCTTCGTCTTTGACCAGGTTTGGACATTTCGCTTCATGCTTTTGTTTGTTCCGTGTGACTAAACACAACATTGCAACGTGGATGCCCTTCATCCACTTTACGTGGATCACCCACGTAGACTACGCGTTTCCGTTACGTGGGAACTAAACCTCCCTATTAGTATTAGTTGGTTGCTCCAACGAGGAACACACGCTGCCTGCCGAACTAACTACTGACTCACGACTGCCATCCGGAGCACACGTGGAGCACGTCGAACCTTCCACTCGGCAAACCTGCTGCAAGAAAGCACCGCACCCTGGTTACAGTGTAGTAAAATCTCAGCTTGTTTCATCTTGATCTCATTCACGCAGCGTGATATTTACCAGTGCAATGTTCACTTCGGCCTAGTGTTAGGCTGCTCAGTGGGTCGACTCTCACTATAATTATGTGGCCATTCTGATAATGCCAATATCTTCCTGCAACATCGACATCTACATTATAATAGTATTATAGAGTCGCCTCATGCTGAGAAGTACAGTTGAGACGCACTTGTTGTATAAAGTTAGGATGTAAATCATGTTATGTCAGTTCACCAAGGCATAATAGTACTAGCATAATTTCCTCGCAACCGTCCAGATTGCACGACACCACAAATAACTGCTTCATGGAAATGGGAACCGTGAAAGCCTGGGCTTCACAGTCTTTTTCAGCCTTTCACTCAGGACATGGTCCAGATGAGAAGTCCCTGGCCTGGTCCATGGTGCAGACCAGGGAGTCATACCCGTATATCTACGACTCCCTGGTGTAGACCAGGGAGTCGTAAAATATTTTACGACTCCCTGGTGTAGACCAAGACTTACATGACTTGTAGTTACAGTGAGTTAGGTCCGGCGGATTCTGCCGGCAGAAAAATTGGCAGAATTCGGTACTTTTTCTGGTAAGTTTCATGCATGTTTGGTATGTGGACAAAAAATGGAGTAGAATTCGAGGAATTGCCCGCCATAAGGTTTGTATGGTTCTGCCAATTTCACTGCTTTTCGAGCAGAATCCGCCGGTCCCTAACAGTGAGTAAAACCAAGAGTAATAAAATAGCCCCCATAATAATTTAAGTACAGAACCGAACAACAAGGACAATCAAGGCTTGTTTGCTGCGACTTCAAGTTTCATGCTCTCGCAATCATCAGCCAACATAATAATCTAAGTATGTAAGTAAGAACCTCTTCTTCACATTGTTGTCCCCATTACGGGGCCCATAATCATGATAATGACAATTACTGAAAAAATGGGTCGACTGCTGCAGAGTCACGTGCCCAAAAGACACGTGATCAGAGGACAGTGTTAGGAAATGGGTCACGAGCGAAGTAGAAACTGCAAAAGGTCGAATGATACTTTGTATGAAATTATGAAGTAAGCGCTACTTGGCGTTGTTGCCTGAGTTGGTCGTATAGTAGTATATCTTCAAGGTTACTTCCATCCTCGCCCCATATTTCTGCATCGCTACGTTTCCGTCTTGAAAGGGAATACTTCTGCAAATCAGCCAGTGGACGCGAGTGTATAACCCCGACAATGCAATGCCAACTAGGTGTTCGTGTGCTACTGTCGCTGCTAGCGTTGCTATTCTTGACTGGATGCAGCCAGTCCAAGATCTTGCCTTACACGGAAGAGTGGACGGAGAGCAGGATCGATCATTTCAATCCGATCATTCGGACTCCTGACAAGTTCGCGCAGCGCATGCTCGTGAACAAGCAGTATTTCGACGAAGACGCCGGCCCAATTCTGCTGTACACCGGCAATGAGGGAGCCATTGACCAATTCTGGAATAACACTGGATTTGTTTTTGAACTGGCGGAGCTACACAAAGGGTACGTCATCTTCATTGAACACCGTTACTACGGGAAATCAATACCGTTCGGAGATGCCTGGACTCAAAACTACAACTATCAATTTTTGACCGTGGAGCAGGCCATTGCCGATTACGCCGTTATCATCAGCCGACTGAAGACCAGTCTTGGCAATCCCAAGCGCAAAGTCATTGCGTTTGGAGGTAGCTACGGTGGGGTGTTGACGGCATTCATGCGCTTCAAGTATCCGAACATTGTCGACGGAGGGCTGGCGGCAAGTGCACCGATTTACCCGATGGGTGGGTATGATTTCTACCGCGCGGTGACGGAGGACTGTGAGCGCTACAACAGCCAGTGTCCTATACGCGTTCGCAGCGGCTACACCATGCTACTGGATACGGTGAAGACGATGAGCGGCTTGGACAAAGTTACACAACTGTTTCACCTGTGCAAGCCGCTGACGGCTCTGTCGCTGCCGCACTTCCTCCTGTGGGCGCGCAACGCGTTTACTATCATGGCCATGGCTGACTACCCGTATCCGGCGTCGTTCCTCGGCAGTTTACCAGCGTACCCCATCAATGATGCGTGCAACACGATTCTGGGTGGAGACGATGCATTGAGCGGCCTGGCCAATGCCACCGTGAGGTTCTACGACGCCACTGCAACCGGTAGCCATACGCAATGCCATGACCTCGACAAGGAGTACATCACGTGTGCGGATGCTACGGGCTGTGGAAACATGGCCCAGTGGGACATACAGATTTGCCTTCAGGTACGGCTGGCTTCCGGTACGAACAACAAGACTGATATGTTTCCGCCGATCGAGCCGTGGACCGACAGCGTGTACGAGGCGTACTGTGCAAAGAAGTACGGATCTGGCCTGGCATACAACACCGACTTCTACAACATCAACTTCTGGACGGATCAGATCCGCGGGGCTTCCAACCTGATCTTCTCCAACGGCGACCTTGATCCGTGGCGTTACGGCGGCGTATATGGCACAGATCTTCCCTCAACGGTGTACCCAATCATTGTGAAGGGCGGCGCCCATCACCTGGACTTGCGAGGTTCTGACAAGCGTGATCCGGCAACGGTCACCGCTGCTCGAGACGTAGAGAAGTTGATCATCGCCGATTGGTTGTACTTGGGTAACTGATAGGCACTACTGTGCTAGAGACGTGATTTGTTTTGCCAAAAGCGAGTGGGTCCCTGGTTCAAGTCCTGGTGTTGGCAGCCAGGGAGTCATCAAATCCGGCATTTGATGACTCCGTGGTGGAAGTCATTTTTTCTTCTGACTTGTCCCGTTTCCGCTCGCTCAAACGTTTGATAATGTCCAATTCTGCATTTTAGCAGTCCAAAGTTACTAGTTACTAGTAATTAGATTACTTCTGAAGTATTTGAAGTTTGTATTTCCAAACTCCTTTTTATTATTCCTCAATTTTATTTCTTGACAGCTAGCTGTTTCTACAGAATAGTTTATTTTGTTTATTATGAACGTTGGCAAGAAAATACTTAGTATTACTAGTAGTCATGGTAGTTACGTTTTCATAGATGCACAAAACCAGGGAGTATTGTAGATGTGTAGATCACTGTGCATGTGGCTGTCGACACAGCCGGGCTTGGGGTAGAGTGTGTATCAGTACACAAAGGTCGACCTTATTACTTTGCCATGCTGTTCAGGGGAGTGCTTGCATGACGTTCCTGATCTTACTTGCTCAGTACACCTATGGGCGTTGGCGCAACCCGCTATCACCTATCAGTAGAATCTGAAGTTATCAAAATGAGACCATTGCAACACACGCATATGCTTTGTATAGTCCTGGCGTGCAAGCCGGTAGTTTGTATGGAGTGGCAGAAGGTAGTACATATACAGTCTGTATCGGCTATAGAGTGACCGGATATAAGAATATATCGGCTACAGTGATATTGGTACGAAATATCAAGCAAAACGCATTTTATCCAGTAAAATATCACTATAACCAATATTATCGGATGTAATGATATATCGGATATTATGATGGCAACAAAGAATCAAAACATGCATAACACACTGTATTATTATCGGCTATAGTGATAACTTTAAAATACATGTAGCAATAATATCAAAGGCCCTATTTTTTACTTTCTTATTATTTTAGTTTCCTCTGAGACAAAAATGCGATAATACTCATAAAAATTCAAGTTCTTCTTCTTCTTTTTATTATTATTAAATTTTGAATAGGGCAGTCCCACAGGCCTAGCGCCTAGGGCTTTCACGTTGCTTATTTTTATAGTGATACATGTACATGTACATAACATTATTTTTTTATGGAAATGCAGGCACTGTCAACTATGCATCATGCTCATTAATTTTGTCAAAACGCCATGCTGGAAGTATTTCCTTGCCTTTCATGTGTCGATCGAAAAAAGAAATCGATTGTATCGCACTGACATAGTGATGCATCGGTTATAGTGATAAAATCACGGAAATCAAAAGGGTACGCTATATACTGTAGTCTGTTGTAATGAGATTTGAATGGCAAAATAATAATTTTTATGAAGTGGTAAGCAGTGGAAACTGTAGTTTGGGATGGGAGTGACAGCTACACCAAAGCTAAGGGGTCAGAGCATGCTACTCTCGCATTTTGGGCCACACACGCCGTCAACTGTCCTCTGTCTCAGATGATCTATCTTTTCCTTCTCTATGAAAAACAGACATCTGGCAAGTGAGATCAAAAAAAGAGAATGAATCGAAACCGAGAAAGAGTACTTTTGAACGCAATGCCAAAGAATCTGCACGTTTTCATGCACTGTATTGTTTGGTTGGCATGGCTGGTGATGTGCAGCACACGCGACCAAAACGAATATGGTCGTGCATGAACAGGCGTGCAGCATGGAGTGACAGTGCAGGCAATTTGAGCAGCAGCACGTAGCAATGTGTATGCGCTCATCTGCTGAACACACACGCACACACACACACACACACACACACACACACACGCACACAGATACACACTGAGATTCAGGCGTGCCCACCGCGGAAGCGATGATAGCGAACATAGCATGTTAGACATAGCAAGTTGTGCTGGGATTAAACCATTCAACAGCTTGCAAGGCTGATGAATTGACCGCCACTAATTTTAGCCTGGTATCCACCACACAGCTGACACACACACACACACACACACACACACACACACACACACACGCACGCACACACACACACACACACACACAACCCGTTCTTTTGAGAAATAGAAGTTAGACACGCACACCAAAGAATTACTTTTGACGAACTCTAGGATTAGTTTCACTAAAGAAGCTGGCTGAGTACACAGGTCAGTACAGGTCAGAACGAAATGTTTCTCTTACTTTTACAGAAGAAAACAGTGGCCTACTTGGCAATGTAAATTGTTCGATAGAAAATAAGATGAAGACGGGAAGAAACCTTGAAAGGAAAAAAAGACATGCAGTGAACCACCAAAAAACGAACCTAGAAAATAATTACTAACCAGGCGGGCATACGGGTACAACAAAAGAAAGCCATTACATCTCTTCACACGCACATAGCAAGCCAACCAATTACACTGAAGTGAGATTGGGTCGCACAGGCTTACTCGAAGAGAGAGAGAGAGAGAGAGAGAGAGAGAGAGAGAGAGAGAGAGAGAGAGAGAGAGAGAGAGAGAGAGAGAGAGAGAGAGAGAGAGAGAGAGAGGGAGAGAGAGAGGGAGAATGAGGGAGATACATAGAGAGACAATGAGAGAGTGAGAGTGGAACATACAAACGAACAGAGGGAGAGATGTCAGGAATGTTAGCGAAAAAGACGGATATTCGAAGTCTGATATGCAGAGGACATGTACATCAGATACCAATACGCACACACACATCATGATCCTAGCATCACTATTCTAGCTATGCCCAGACAGCATCCACACATCTATAGGAAATCAATGCTAGCTTAACTCACACAGGACACCCACCATGAGTAAAATGACACGGCACTGGACATGTTTCTACTTTGAAGTATGAGCTGCCTAAGTGTAGAGGTGACAGCAGCCCCCAACGTACTGTCGGTGTACTGGAACATCAATGCAAGCTGAATAGTGCTCTCAAGGGAACGTGGGCTGGGAGGGGACACACCGCCATACACTGTACACTGTGTCCAAAACCAAGCCAGCAGCATCTCTACCTCCCAAGCGTCTGGTCTTCATGCCTTCCCCGTGGCCGCATCGGCGTTGTGATAAGTACCATCCTTGGCTCCTGCAGAGACATTGCACACCCAGGCAGTAGTGTGGTCAAGGTCATGTTGATATGCGGCAAAATGAAGTCTCAGCATATACTCTTTGATGTGCTGTCTGGAGACATTTTAGGGACGTGAGTTCGCAGTACAATCCGTCTCTCCAAAAAAATAAGTTAATTTCATGCCTTAGGAGTCAGTTAATCTAGGCCGTGCCAGGGCTCTCAGTGGTTGTGGGCTTATGAGTCAGTCAGACTGGCTCTTCTGTATTCATAGGAATGCCGCTGCCACCAAGGACAAAGGCTTTAGATGCAGTTCCAACATTCTGCAGTAGCAATCCTCTTCACGAGCAGTGCAACGTACATCCAGGCGCACACCGGAGCAATGGCTGTGTGCGCAATATTCTCGGGCATGAGATTTTCAGGAGGCTGACTGGGTTGGAGTGAGGGAAATGCTCATCAGTAGTATGGGATGTGTGCAATGTGTGTTCAGGAGGTGTACCATCAAACAGTGAAGAGAACGGGCGACACTGAGTATGATAAATATGCCAAGTAAATCACGGAGGCCATTGTACACATGGATTGTGCTTGATATACCAGCCAAAGCAGGGTTGTAAGGCAACATCTAAGCCGGACAGTGGCTACAGGAAACACGTGTGCTATTCTTCTCTAGAGATATGATGTGTCTGCTTATGGTGCGCACAAACACACACACACACTCAAGCACGTCATGGGATTTCTCTTCAAGTATATTTCAGAGCAGGCCCAGATCAAAAGTGCTCATGCTGCAGCACCAGTACGCAGTTGCACATTGAAAACGTATAGCAAGTATACCAATATTCAACATATCGGACGGACATCTACACACATGTCCCGTGCCCCAAACTGGCCCACTACGCCTCAAATGTACAATAAATCGTTCTACCTTCACTGTAGAATTCCTCCAGCTGCCACTTGAGTGTCTCGAATGTCGGCCGCTCCATATCCGCTGGCTTCCAGCAGTCCATCATGATGGCATAGAGGCGAGGTGGGCACGTGTCGGGGCTCGGCATGCGGTATCCCTTCTCCACAGCGGCCAGCACCTCAGGGTTGGTCATGCCCGGGTAGGGCATGCGGCCGAACGTAATCAGCTCCATCAGCAGGACGCCGAACGACCAGACATCCGACTTGATCGAGAACTTGCTGAAGAGCGCCGCCTCCGGGGCCGTCCACTTGATGGGGAACTTGGCACCGACGTGCGCCTGGTATACGTCCTCGTCGATCACGCGTGCCAGGCCAAAGTCGGCCACCTTGCAGATCAGGTTGTCACCGACGAGGATATTGCGCGCGGCCAGGTCACGGTGGATGTAGTTCTGCTCTTCCAGGTATGCCATGCCCGATGCAATCTGTGCCATTGTCAAACACAACACCACAGCAAGTTTGGATAGTGAATGATCAAATTGGCATAAAGCTAACGGTCAGAAGAGCATGAAAGTAACGACGGCAGTAACTTAAACTCAAATAGTGGCCTCAGCCATATGTACACCACTACCGTAACACACACATAGCCAAGTCTACTGTTTATCACATCACTGACTGCTTGCCGCAAGCCACATACATGTATATCCGCTCAGTGCCTGAGTCTGAACGAACACCTTCCGCTGACACACACCTGGGAGGCCATGAAGATGAGTTCGGTCTCCTTGAGCTCCTTGCCCTCGGCGCTACGCAGGTAGTCCAGCAAAGAACCGTTCTTCATGAGCTCTGCGATGATCATGATAGGTTCGTGCACGCTGCACACCGCGTACAGCTGAATGAGCTTTTCATGCCGCAGGCGCTTCATGATCTGCGCCTCTTCCAGGAAGGCCTCCCGCGCCATAGTCCCGGCTTTCAGTGTCTTTATGGCCACGGGTGTGGTGCGATTCCACAGACCCTCCCAGACCTCGCCGAACTGGCCTGCACCTAGCTTGCAAATCTAGAAAGCATACCCCAACACACACGTGCATGTACGCATGCGCCGCACACATACGCATACACACACACACATGCATACACACACACGTATGTGTACCCACAAACACACACACACATACACGTGCACGCAAACGAACATACACACACACACACACACACACACGCACAGCACCTTGATTTATGAAGTAATCTTTTTCATGATGATGAAAGTGTGACAAACAGCGTCCCCAATTTTTTTATGGATACACACATACTGTATGTATGCATGACATACGCTGTAAATCGGTACCAACAATTTCTTCCTGATGGCGAGGGATCCGGATACAAGAGGACCGGATAAGCAAGGTCTGGCTGTAAATTATTAGCTTTCACCTTAGTGATGGCCATTCCCCGGGGGAATTATAATTTCAAGTGTGTTGTTAACAGCAAAGAGATTATTTGGGAGGAGAGGAGAGGAGAGAGAGAGAGAGAGAGAGAGAGAGAGAGAGACAGAGAGAGAGACAGACACATAATTTTTTTATGACACACTTGGAGCAAGGCACAATAGCTGTGATCACACACACGCACACACCCACACAATACACACACGAACACACACACAAACCTTGCTGATGGATTCTCTCGGGATTTCCCACTGATCACTTGCCGACAGTCCGCTAGTTTGTGGCAGCTCGGCACGGTGGCAAGGTCGGACAAGTTGCGTGGCCAACCCATCAGCCTCGGTCATGTAGTGCTCAATTAGACCGATCATGCTCTCATAAATACAGCGACGCGCTATGAAAAATCCACCTCCGTCATCCAATGCACGGATCCGATAATGCTGCAGGCAAGCAAAACACATGGTAAACAGTGACAACAATAGAAGCAGCATGAGCAACAAAGGAAACAAGATCAGCGGTAGTGGCGGAGCAAGAAAACAGCATGGGTTGAGACACACTGTACGGATCTTATTGAGCCCACGTCAAAGTGATTAGCATCATGAAATAAATGTTCACCTTTTCAAGTACAATAGGGTAGTGATTGTCACTGATAAAGTCAACTTCGCTTATAACGACACTCGACGGGGCATCAAAAAGTGTCCTTATTCGCAAAGTGTCGTTATCTGAAGTCTCCTTATATGTATTACAGTTGGATGGGACTTTGCTCTGGGAATGGAAATTGTGTCGTCATTCGCGAGTTGTCGTTATATCCGCAGTCGTTATATCCGCAGTCGTTATTCACGAAGTTGACTGTAGTGACAATTTAACGTGAATGATCTCAAGTTAAATTTTGCCGAAACGTTGTTATAATCGATGGAGAAACGAGTTCGAGTTCGAGTTTGCAGAGTAAATGGGAAAAGAGCGGGTCAGCTCAGAAACCTTTTTTCCTACCGTATTTCCGCGCATATAACGCCATGGCGTTCGGCAGAGTATGAACTTCGAGTACTCGTACGGTGCCGTTGCACGTTCATGTCGAGCATCCATGCACTTTCAATTTTCCCTGAAAATTTCAAAATGTGAACCTATTGTGTACAAGGTGGCATGGAAACTTGTTTGAAGGTGCGGTGGCGGTATGGCATGTGACAGTGGGGATAGGTACATGCAGAGAGAATCACCGCTACAGTACATTCACTGAAAGAATTGAACTTACCTTTCACGCCAGATGCAACTTCCTCCACATTGAATTTTGTTCACTTATAACGCCATAGCTTAATAAGTGAGGGTGGCCTTATATTCGGATATAACACCATGGCTTTATATGCGCGGAAATACGGTATGAATGAAGCTGCAGGAAGCCTCGCCACTGATCTCAATTACGGTGTTAAATATTTTTAGCTTCAGCTTGAAAAACCCAAGGGCGGGTTCTGCCTCAAAGGCTTGCAGTTGCAATTCACTCTTTCCGTACACATTTCATGCAACATTTGTTGATTATATTTGGGTCCCCCGACGGCAGCACCACGGAGCTTCCACATGCAAAGGGTCTGCGAGTGGGTGGCAACTGAAACAAAAAATACTTTCATTTCGTTAGCAGTGACTTCACCCTGCACACTCTTGGGTATCTCCAGCAATGTTCTACCTCAGATTCGTCCGCCCTATGCCTTTCATAGACATCCCTATTCTCTCTATAAATTACGGAAATCTGTCCGATATGGAGCCAAGTGCTCTCACCTTGATCTGGCCGAAATCGTCTCTGAGCGAAAGCGAATGCTCTCCCGGCTTGCTCTCGCTTTCCCGTACCAGAAACGACCCGACATCGTTCAGCGGCAGCAGTAACAACTTCTCCGCATCAACACGGCGAATTGTCCCAAAGAACCAGCTGCATCATGATACACAGATACAGTAATACCGTGCATGCAAAGGCATATAGAGGATATCCAAGTTCACTTGTTTCGTACTGATATATAGGAACTAAAGTAGGAAGCAAACACCAGTAAGAGGTTACAAACTGGTGAAATGCGGACACAAGGCAGTATACTATGATTCATGACCTGTGCTGTCCCTTGCACAAACTGCATAGGAGTGCGGGCAGGGGCATTATCGTCTAATCCTGAAAAAAATACCTTTTGTAAACCACACACACACACACGGATCACCTGAAGCTTTCGCCTTGGCGCACAGTGAGCCACGCTAATACTGGACTACTTAAGTTGCCAACATGCTCTATCAGCCGAAGTTGCACATTCTCCAATGCTGTTCCCCACAATCATGCTTTCGCTGTGGTATCTATGGCTTTGTTTAGGTGCTTGAAAGCAGAATGTTGCCGGCCATTGCCGAGATCAAGAATTCACAGTGACATACTTGGCATGCGGCACTTTTCGGTCCTGCAAGTAATAACACCAGTATCCTGGAGTGTATTTAAGGTTACCAGATGGCAAAACAAGGGTTCTCAGTTGCACTCTGCAAACTACTAGTCTTCCTTCAGCTAGACATGAGAATACTGTCCAGAACCGTGGTCATGCCAAAGTACTACCACTCCTAGGTTTGAACTGCTATCGGAATAGTAACGGTCAGTTTACCAATGGCTAACTGCCACGTTACTCTCAACGTTCATGTACACAACGGGCAACAGTAAGAAGAGAGAAATAAAAATAAAATGAAGGAAGGCAGACAGACAGATAGATAGATAGATAGAGAGAGATAGAGAGGAAGACAGATAGAGACAGATAGAGATAGAGAGATAGATAGAGAGAGAGAGAATGATGAGGTGATAGTAGAGGGAATAGAGCGTGAGTGAAGAGTTGGAACACGTTGATACGAGAGTTGATTTGCACAGTCACTGCTACGATGCAAACGTATTATTGTATATTGTCGATAGGGTATCACTGTTTGAAGGGGAGACTTGCACTCTATCGCAATGACTGTTCCCAGTCTAGGTCCCAGGGCCTTTACTAGGCTTTCGTAAAGTTTTCCTCAAGCCCAGGGACTGGGAGTCTGATCAGTCATATCATGTCATTGGTTCACAACTTCCTGAGTTTCTACTTGACAAACAATCTTACTAGCCCAGTGACTGTGCACATGTGGCTGGCTACTGTCAGTTGATGCCTAGCATCATGCAGTCCATGGCCATGGTATGCCAGTTGTACTACATGACGATTGTACTGGGTCTGTTACTATGGGCGGGTTAGGGGCACACTAACCACCACACGAGACGAGAGAGAGAGAGAGTCCAGTGAACGCCCATGCAAGCGCTCTACATCATGTACAGCCTACACCACCAAAGAATATTTCAAGTGAAACTCTCGATTCGTTACAAATCATGTTTTACATATCCCTAAGCGATTCAGATGCCACCTAATATCGCTGTTGCTTCCGCTCTGCTGAGCGCTGCAACGCGATCTGATGCTCCAATGCTAATACTAGTCATGATAGTAACACAACACAAAAGAAGGAAGAAATCGAGAAACAAGGGACTTATCCACAACTTCATGCCATGTCAGGAAACACCAGATCTCACAGTCAACTAATTTCCCACCGTTGTGCGCAGGCTAGACGGACCCTTGCGCTTGATCCGAACAACAGGGAGAGTGCAAGGTTTTCACAGGGCACACCGTTTCCGCATTGCCCCCGACATTGCAAATACTTTAACTCTAATAGAGGCGGGCGTCCAAAAGATAAGTGCTAATGTTTTCCTTACTCGTGTGCTTCCAGACTGGCAACTGGGACGATAAAGTTGCTGGGAACGTAACCTTGCTCGTTCGTCCGACGGGAATTCGCTTTCCACCAGTCTCCGGCCGATGAGTCCAGGATTTCCAGGACATCGCCCTTGAAGAACGCCAGATCCTCGTTGGTGCGAGCCTCGTAATCATATTTAGCCACGTACAACGGATATTGTTGAACTGGCGTAGGCGTCCGAGGTTTCGCAGGCGCTACTGGCTGTGGCGGCCCGACGACTTTCGGTTCGAAGTCGGTTCCGGTCGCTGGTGACTTTTTATTACTAGTCCTACCAGCACTGGAACTGCCCGCGCAACCCATGTCGGCGGCCTGACAAACACCTCACATCTACACAATCACTGACGATCGCACGTCCGTCCGATTTCTTCCGCGGTGCGGAAAGAAGGCAGCTGAAACAACGCACTAATAGTAATACTGCGAGAGATCCAGGTAGCTTTCAAGTAAGTTTCAAGTCCGGCACACAGCGTGGTACGCGGTCGACCGGTCGGCAAACTACATGTAGCTGCACGCAGCGCAGTGTGCACTGAGTACAGTAACACATGACCTGTCGACATGTATATGTCCGATCCGGGTACCAGTACACCAGGTAACTGTTACACGGTAGATCGATCTTCGTATGTGCTGCATGCTGGGCGCAGTACAGAATGTCAGTTTTATTTGCACTGCATTGCTGGCACTTGACAGACGTGCACGCACACTCACACAGCACTTTCACTTCGTCTTGTTTGGTACACAGACTGTCAGTACACCTAGTACTGGGACCTAGGATACTAGTACTTACTACCGGTAGTAGTCAGGGTAGTAGATCCCTACTACTAAGCGATGTCAGGGTAAATTTCTGTTTTGAGAATCGGGCAAATATTGTAATACCATCCGATTCCTGAAGACAAGTAGAGTATACTGGCAAAGTTTGAAGCAAATCGGAGCAAATATAGTGGACTTATTCCAGTTTAGAGTGCGCGGGGTAAGCGCCGTCGAAAAGCACCATGCCGCACTGTACACAAACCAGATCTCACCACGGCACAAAATCGGTCTTGACAACAGGGATCGCGGCTCATGAATAATCTTGCGCACTGTACAAAATGTACATACCGTAGCTGTACTGTTTTTTTTTTGTTGCTGCAAACTGTTGGAGAAATTCAAGAAGACTGTTGAAGAGTAGCCGAAGTATGAGTTGTGATTTGGCCATTCTCCAAGACAAGAAGAGTTCGACAAGTAGATTATGATCCTGGTGGTGGTCCGCTTTGAACTTCATCAGTTCTAACACCAATGCATTTGAAACGTTTCCGATCATGCTAGGCAGGGGCTTATCCTGCAATAGCTGCTCCTCCTTGAGTCCAAGACTCGACAAAACATCTTCACCGCCGGTCCTTTTGCTGGACGAACACTCATGATGGCGGTGTATCCAGCAATGGAGTACCTGTCGCGAAAAATACTACAAGTCTGGTGCGCGGCGTGATACGCCAGTGAAACTTGGCAGCAAACTAAATTGGACGACGGGGAACACGATGGAACTAAAATCAAACCTGTATCAGGCAGCGCAAGAGATGAAAAAGGCGACTGAACATACGCTAACTTGTCGGCGGCCATACTCCCAGCTCCGTAGGCGCAGCGCGCCCGCACAAACGCGGATACGAAAGACTTTTTTTTAAAGGGAAACTGAACGCCAAAAATAAGTATGGCTTATCCGAAGGAGAATTGGGCACTGATTCCGATGAGCTATGTCTCGAGCCGATCAGAGAAGAGGAACTGTGTCAAATTTCATAAATAACACCTCCCATATTTGGAAATTGGCCTTGATGACGTGCGTACTGCTTAGCTGTCACCATGCTGTTCATGCTCAGCAGTGTAATTGAATGGAAGAAAACAATTACTTTGGTGTTTTGCAGCTCTGTTTCGTTCCCTGACGGTAACCAAATCTAGATGTAGGAATCTGTTGAGCAGGAGAGTGACACATGTCTTCCCGAAGGCTGTCCAGGCTGCAGTGGTGATGAAAAAGACACATCATCACCCCGAGATCGATCGTAGCGAATTGGAAAACTCATGGTGAATTTGCTTCCACTCCAAGGCAATGTCGAGGTATGAAGGGTGCTTGTACTGCCTTCCAAAGTGAAGAGGAGATGAACATGGCTTTGCATAGCTGATGTTCTATGCCAACTTACCTACTCTTGCTGGTACCGTAGTGGCATATTGCAAATTTCGTGGACGAACAACTCTAGTCACTAGTGGCTATTGAGCAACACTAACAGGTGAGATTTTTCAATTCGACAAAAATTGTTTTTGTTTGAGAATTGACAGTGGCAGTCATTAGACTCAGTAGGTGTCTCTCTGCTGCTTCTTTCCCTTCATCGGTAGGGTTGTGCTTGAAGTAAAAATAAATAGAAAATGTGGAACAAAAATCTGATCATGTAATTCGAATTTGAACTTCAAAGTATGTGTACATCAAATCACAAAAATGACTGTCAAGGTGGTGCTGTGCATTGAAAAAGACTGGGAGCTGGCAGCAATGGAAAGGGTAGAAACGAAACCAGTAATGCAGAGTATTCATAAGGTAGAGGGAGATGAAAACGGGAGAGGAGTAGTGAGCACTTCAGTTTGAAGTAGTGTCAATAGACAGCATCGTGTTGCATACGTTGTGAATATTGTGTGAATCTAATAATTGTCACGAAATTGATATCCAAAATTATTATCCCCTGAGTAGTATTATGGTGTTCTCCTGTGTTTACATGCAGAGCCTTGACGTTGCTGGACGAGCGACAATATAAATTACATAAACATGTAGCTCGTGATGTGGGATGACTGCCGTATCGCATTGCCAACGCAAACCCATCCTGTGTCAGTGCAGCCATCCAGCAACTTGAACTCCCCGGACCAGATGCCGCTGCAGCTGAACACCATGCCGATGGAAAGCCAGGAGTTGATAGCGAAGCATTCTGGTCTGCACAGTACAAGGCAAAGAACAATTACGAATTATAATGCATTGTAATCTTTCCCACACTTCTTTGTAAAAACAAACAAACAGTGCCATTATCACAAAACTTGATCAAGCATCTTGATGGAGGTATTTCCATTGTGCTGGCTCAGCATCTGCACCAGGAAGACCATGTACACTTACACGTATCTTGTGTGTGTGTGTTCGTGCGTGTGTGTTAGTGTATCTGTATGTGCACACGTGTGTGTGTGGGGGGGGGGGGGCACGCACATGTGTATGGGTAGGAGTGTGTGTGGGAGGGGGGGGGGGGGGCGGGGGGGGCGGGCGGTACACGCACATGTGTATGGATGTGCGCGCTGCATGCGTGTGTCTGTGGGATGGGGTGGGGGTGCACGCACATGTGTACATGTGTGTGCGCAATACAGCATGTGTGTATGTGTTCGTTGAACACAGGGTGTACTCCTGATTACATAAACTTCGTGATCATTGTGATTTCATGTGCTTTGAAGTTGAACTTCGCAATACATGTACTGATGCTTGATTAGATTTATGTTCCACATGTTCTATTTATTTTATTTTACTTCAAGCACTTGTACTATTCAAGCACAACCCTACCAATGAAGGGGAAGAAGCAGCAAAGACACCTACTGAGTCTAATGACTGCCACTGTCAGTTCTCAAACAAAAACAATTTTTGTCGAATTGAAAAATCTCACCTGTTAGTGTTGCTCACTAGCCACTAGTGACTAGAGTTGTTCGTCCACGAAATTTGCAATATGCCACTACGGTACCAGCAAGAGTAGGTAAGTTGGCATAGAACAGCTATGCAAAGCCATGTTCATCTCCTCTTCACTTTGGAAGGCAGTACAAGCACCCTTCATACCTCGACATTGCCTTGGAGTGGAAGCAAATTCACCATGAGTTTTCCAATTCGCTACGATCGATCTCGGGTTGATGATCGTGTCTTCTTCATCACCACTGCAGCCTGGACAGCCTTCGGGAAGACATGTGTCACTCTCCTGCTCAACAGATTCCTACATCTAGATTTGGTTACCGTCAGGGAACGAAACAGAGCTGCAAAACACCAAAGTAATTGTTTTCTTCCATTCAATTACACTGCTGAGCATGCACAGCATGGTGACAGCTAAGCAGTACGCACGTCATCAAGGCCAATTTCCAAATATGGGAGGTGTTATTTATGAAATTTGACACAGTTCCTCTTCTCTGATCGGCTCGAGACATAGCTCATCGGAATCAGTGCCCAATTCTCCTTCGGATAAGCCATACTTATTTTTGGCGTTCAGTTTCCCTTTAAGGGGGCTCAACCCCGAAGAGGGAGCAAAAAAAATTATGGTAAATCGATCTGAACTGTGTGTTTTCAGATGGCCAGACACCTAGAGAACTGGTCTGGGCTATTTCAAGGATAGGTTTATTATGTGGTTCCCCAGCTATGGGGGTGTTATTGTACCTATGTTTTTCGGCAAAAATTCAATGATTTCTCACTAAAGGCGTAAAATTCCAGTTGGTAATACTTCAAAAATCCTGAAAGTGGGTATGGAGGGGCCTACAATACTGTCTTCTTTGGAAAATGTCCACAACATATGCCCAGACCACTGTGAGAGGCCAAGGTAGCCCAGAATGTGATTTGGCAAAACGCGTATTTCAGCAGACCGGACTTTAGACTTGTTTGAATAGTGGAGAATCGAGACAATAACATGGTCAATTTTATGGTCATTATCTGCTCTTCAAGGCCATAGGAAGGCTCTACAAAAATAGATTTTTATGTCTACCATCTCGTTTCTCCGTGAGAAACAAAATTTGTGACGGATTTTGCATATTCAGCTTGAAAGTCAGATTCAGCATTGTTGCCAAAATGAGTGTATCGACTTCATTCAAGCTTCACTTTGACTATGTAGGGCGAGAAGCATTTGCTATAGACCAATCCCAGACAATACCACATGCAACAGTCACAACTGAATTGTGTTATTCACATCTTTGTTGTATATTGTGATGTACATACATAATATAATGTACATACATACATACATGCATGGGTATATCAAATGTACAAAACAACGGATTATAAGTATAACGCTGTCAATGAGCAACTTGAGTTGCTTGGTTACTGCTGGATGCGATGGCTAGCAGCCACTGTTGGTATTGTGGGTTCGCGCCTCCAGTGTGCAGCACAACGTGAATGTTTGAGCAGATAACTGCAGCATCATCACGAGTGGTAGAAAGTGGGGACGATGCTGCACCTCCTGCAGCTGCTGGAGTACTTGTGCGGTCTGGAGCAGTGTGTAAAATAGGGGTGTTGGTGTTGGGTCTTCCAGATGCTAGATGATGTGTTATGCGTTTTGCAATAGCAGAACTCATTGTGACTAGCACACGCCCATCGCCACCCGGTTCGTGCAATAATCCAAGGATGCCAGTTCCCTGATTCCTCTCAAATGCCAACACCAGATGATTGTACCTGTAGGCATGATATATAACGTTGTTGTTGTTGAAGAATATTTAGACTTCTACAAACACCCATGTTGCAGCGAAACGCCCACTCCAGCTTGTTTGCTGAGACTGTGACAGAAGCCTGACTAGTGCTGCAATGTGTACTGCTGTGATTCATGATTTCAGTTGACATTCCTTGCCTTGCCTTGCCTGGGTAATATTGCAGTTCTTCACAACATGCATAACACAATTTTATGCTGCATTTACAGTCTAGTTCAAGGCCGAGCTCATGAAAATGTGGCAACTTGACCATGCATAATATTACGTGTCTGTGACTGTCTCTGCTCAAGTTGTTCTACAAGGCATATTGCCAATATTTCAATATTCAGTTTTATAATATATACAGATTCCTGTCATAGTTCAATGATACAAGCACAGCCATACTACCTTTAACCCACAGCCTTCTCCTGAGAAACACAGGCACAGGTCAGAACTCACCCAGTGCAGCCTTAGAGTTCATAGGATCAATGCTTTCCACTCCATCCAGCATGAGACTCACATGTCTGACCAAATTCTCCTGCCCACACATAGAACACTTCACTGGCATGTCGCTGTGCTGTTCCTACTGGCTGTTCCAGACCACACTCATTACTCACAGAGATCAAGTCTCTACTTGCAGACACTACACTCTGACTCCACTATCTCCAGGTACTGCAGGTACAAGACCAGTTTTTCTCTCACAGTCGTCAGTAATATTTTTATCTGGCGACTGGAAAAGAAAAAATAGATATCGTTCCAAGTGCCACTCAAGTGGATGCACTTGAACTTGAGAGAAGCATGTCACTTACCTGCGTTCTGAGACTGATACATGTATCATTGGTAGCTGGGCTCTGGACAATCTTGCAGGTTTACTTGTCTTCACTGGCAGGCGAGACTGAGAAAAGGGCATATCTGAGCTGGAAGTTAGAACTACACGACCTGAAGAAGATTGAACACGCTTTGGTCCTGAGCGCCCACGAAAACGGCCGTGCCTATTGATAACTACAAGTACTTGACACGAAGCTCCATAGCTCCATCGATCGCCGACATCCAGCAAACCAAAATGGAAAACACAAAACGTTCAAACTGTTCAAGGACTGCAGTTTCTTTGAATTCTCGCAAAATAAACTTTTGAACACGACTATTTCTCGCAAAAAAACTTTCTCCAGCCGCGGACAAAATGTTTTCAAACGCGAAATTTTGCATAAAATCATGCCCAGATTTCGATGCGCGCGCAGAAGTACTGAGCCCCCTTAAGTTCATCTTCTATTTTCGTGGCAATAGTCACGACCAAGCTTGTCACTGACGTCTTCAGGTCACATTTGAATATCCCGCGTGCCAAGTACTGCACGCTCTGGCCGCGACTGGCATTCTGCCGTACTGGCCTTTTGTGCCATCATTTCAGCTGGTTGCTAGGGAATCCAGCGACAAGCGTGGAGGTCACGTGGCACGGCACTCTGACATCGCTACTACTACAGTAGTAGTAGATCTCGTGTAGATAAGATTTCCCGTATGTCACATGACTGTCGCCTTGGAGTCGACCAATGACAGATCAAATTACGCGGGCTGGACAGCGCGATCCTGCCTGCTGAATGGTGATGGAACTAGTTCCACTGCCCGTCGTCAAGTGACGACGGGCAGTGGACGGAATCCACTGCCCGTCGTCACTATGTCTTGACGACGGGCAGTGAACAGAATCCACTCATCATGAGTCTACCATTTCAATGACAAGCTTATTAATTCTGTGGTCTGAAAGTACATGCACAAGTCATGTACTGAGTCTGTAGTCCGTGTACGGTTGTCGAAGTCACTCTCACTCAGCTCACAGCCTCATAGAGTCATACAGTATACAGGACTCGAGTCACAGAATGGTTCATGTAAACTCAAAGATTGACTTTGTGAGTGATCTCCTTGCGACCTTGGCTTGGGAAGTAGTTGGGTGCATACGGGAAACACGTTCCAGTCACTCATACTCGGTCAGTACCGCTGTTCATCCAGCCCTTGCCGCTATCGCGGCGCGGGCTGGATTCCGCGGTACTGCCCTTGTACTCGTGCAGGAACCTGTACATCCAGTATCTGCTGTTGGGTTATGGCATGAGGACTGAGCTGATATAAAATATTTTAATTATTATGAGTAGATACTGACAGAATCAGATACTAGTACTACATGTAGTGCCCTGTGCAGGTGGCATGCGGATACACGCTGCACAGACGACCCCCCCCCCCCAAAAAAACCCATACTTTCATAATCATAGCACGCACGCGTACCTGTTCTGGCACGAATATTTTCATTGATCATGAAATTAGTATTATGATGGGCACAAGGATAGAACCCAGATGTACTATGACCAGCTATTCACCCTCAGAAAATCGACCTCGATGAACGCGCATTGGCCGTGGTTGGTCTCACTACCACGGTCCTCAATTATTTGTTACTACATGCACACCCACACCTGAATGCCAAAGACTTAATTCTCCACATTGCCAAAGCATACTAGTAATTATTCTAAGAGCATAGTGCATGCCTTGCCCACTGATTGTAGTTGCAAGCAAGCCTCCAGAAAGTAGATAGGGACAAGGAAGTAAAGTGGCGCCCGAGAACGCCATGCAAATAGACATACATGTACGTGTACTCAGTTCGTGCACAGTCTACATTAGAGAGGGCTTACCACACTCCCGCTAGAGCCGCACACCACCAGCAAATAATTAATTAGCAGTGCGTATATACTACACATACTTGGTATATAGACATTTAAAATAATGCCATATTGGTGTGCATCACAATGTCCAGGACTATTGCATTGCAGCGAGAAAATAACCCATGAAAAGGGATCCTATCATGCATGGCTCTGAGTCTGACACTATACAATTGTAATCATTCGCATAGTGTCCAAGGTCCGGTTCCAAATATCTCCACCGGCTCTAAAGTCTATAGAGAATTCCTGCCACTGTGTGTGACCTGCCATAGACTGAGGCACACATACACAAAGTGCCATCTACACGTACTCCATACGAACAACACTCCAAATCACTGAAAAATAATTATATTAAAGCAACTAAGGCAATATGTCGCCACCGTGCAAGTACACCAGGATGCTGAGAATTGGAACAATAATATATAAGTCCTATATAGATATACTGGCCACAACAATTTCAAAAGAGAAAAAAGGATGACAGCTCATCCATGTACACTGTTGTTTTAAAAAGACGGTTGGCTTGTTAAATAAAAACCTAGGAGCAGATCTAAACGAATGTCTGAAATGATGATGAAATAGCTTTGAACAAGTCTGACTAGATCAGATTCAGACCGAGTAGTATTGGAAAGAAAAGTGGGCTTCTTGCGTTGTCACCGCCAACTGCACTTAACAAAATCAGACGGTGTATAAAGGAATT